GCTTGGATGCGGAGGCAGACACTGCAGAGAAGTGCCCAGAAACAAGAGGTACCTATACTTACTCCCAACAAAGATGTGCAGTGGCCAGACAAGCCACCACACAGAGAGACAGGTGGGCACCAGGAAGGAAGACACCAGAAACCTGGCAGCCTATGGGTACAAACCCTGGTGCACACCTTGCCACCGACAGGGTCCTGGCACCTAAGCAGTCTTAGGTTTTTCCTCCAGCACTGGGACTGAGTGGTGCTGGTGTGGAGACGGGTCACACTGAGCAGCAGGGACAAACCACCTCCTCTTCTGGAACCTCTGCTGCTGGAGCAGGAATCCACTGGAGTGTGCCTCCCTTATGACCAGGGGAGGGGATAGAGATCGTCCACTCTTGCAAAACCATGGACTCTCCCAAACACACTGTGTGCAAATTACAGGCTTCACCAAGTCCCAGAGCCAAGGCCCAGCCCTAAGAATGCCAGCACGGGTCTTTCCCCTAAGAGCTATCCCTGCACCCAAGGCCCCAGAAAGTTACCTGCATGTGGGCTGGGCTGGAGGCAAACACAGGATTTTGCTCTCATCACAGCCCTTCCCACGTGTCCCTTCCTCTCCTGACCCCATGCAGTGTACAGCAAAAAACGAGGGGAGCTCAGCTGGTGTCCCACCTGGCTCAGTTGCACACCCTTCCTACCCCCCAGGTCTACCTTGGCTGGGTTGCAACTCCACCTCTCTGCTCAGCCTCTCAACCACAGAGCTTGGAGCTTGGGGAGGCTGGGGGGTAGGAGGAGGGGAGAGGGACTCCCAGAGCGCTTGCAGGTCCTGGGATTTGCAGTGATCTGGGCTGTTACTCTGGGCAGGACTGGCAAAACTCCAGGGTAGAATCTTGTCCTGGGAGAGACTCAAGGTACTTCCTCCCAGTCATCTGGGGGATGGGAAACAAGCAGCTCCCCACTCTGCTCCCTTGCTGTTGCACCAGCTCCAAGTTCCCAGGGCCATACTGTGAGCTGAAATAGTCAGTCCCCAGCCTTACGGCCCGATGTCTCAACGTGGCCAGCGAAGGGAGCGGGCTTGAGTTTTCTCAGGGCGGCTGGTCATTTCCCATATTCTGCCCTAAACGTTTAAAAAACGAAAACAGGGAGGGAATAATGTGGAGCCGGCAACACATACCATTCCACCCGGTGGAAGAGAAAGAATTAATAAAGCTCTCCCACTTCACAGAAGGATAAACTGAGGCATAAGAAGGGCAGAGGCTACAGCTCAGAGCCCTGGATCAGTTAGGAAACATCTCCAGCCCCAGTGCTAGCCATCACCAACAGGGCTGAGGAGTTGGGAAGGGGGGTGTTGGACCCAGTCCCTCTCTGATGATCTGTGAAGCCAAATTACCCTCTGACCCAGACAGATCCTAACGAAAACATGAAACCACGAGTCACCACCAGGCCCTAGATCAGATTTCCAAGTGATGAGCCTGGAGTTTTCCTCCTTACTGGGTAAGGAGAATGGGCCTGCCTAGAGCAGGAAGAACCAGGGAGGTCTGAGAACTTGGGCAAGGGCAGGCAGGCTGCAGGTGTCAGGGATGGCTCTGCTTCAGGCTCAACCCAAAAACTCTCTTCTCGGCAGGACTCCAAGCAAGTCCCCCCTCCCCGCCCCCAACCATCCTCTTCTCCTCCTGGTTCACTTTTCTGAGTCTCTTGAGCAGCAAAGCAGCGACCCCTCTGTTTGCGTTCTGGATAAGGTGAAGGAATTTTCCCTGACTCCTTAGATACCCTTGTTTTTCTTTCTGCAGGGGGCCACCTTAACAGTTGGGAAAGCAATTGTTGTAGAAAAGCTTCTGGCACCTTCTAGATCCCCCAGAAACATGGTCTACCACCACCATCTGCAAACAAGCTAAAGCTACGCTGGGTGCTGGGGATACGCTGGAGGGCTGAAGCCCAAAGGGAACTAGATTGGAATCACCTGCTGCTGCCGTGGGAGTCAGATTGCACCCTCCCTAGCTTCCAGATGATTCTCGAGGGAACTGGTGATCCCCCAAATGATGAGCAGCGCCGTGTCAGAGGAGAGGGGACACACAAAGAAGCAAAGGGGAAGCAGAAGACATGCCCTTGAACGAGGGTAATTTTTATGTCTTGTTTTGATCTAAACGGGTAATTTTTTTTACCTGTGCATTCATCAAATCACCAAATCCAACTCTGAGCAAATTCTCCAAGGTACCGAATTTTTTGAAATGCATTATTTGATCTAAACATACTCATGGAATAGAATCCTAGGGGTCTTGCATCCATGAAAAAAAAATAATCTTAGCATCAGGATCTTGGAATTCTAACCTCAGGATTCTAACCTCTTGGTCTGGGGCCCAGGTACAGTTCAGCAGCAACGCATTCTGAGAATGAACCCAGGGAGCATTAAGAGCTCTCTAGGGCCATCAGGGGTTAATGGAAGAGAATCACAAAGTTTAGCGCTTGACTAATAGAGTCAGGAAATCTACCAGAACTAACAGCGGGTCCTACTACCAATAATTTTCAAATTAAGAGTTGTGGTTTTATAGGATCCAAATCTTCCAGATACGTCTAAACGGGAATTCAACCAAATAGCATTAATTACAGTGCATTGAAAAAAAAAATCTAAAACTGGAAAAGCGGCAGAACACAGGAATGGCATTAGAGACAACTTAATATACAAATGATATTCCAAAAGTTCACAGAAAATAGGTATCACGAACTTATGCATGCATTTCAACTTTTTTTTTTTGCACCAAACCTATCTTTTAATTACACTTGCCACAAACTTTTTTAAAAGTATCCTCCTAGAAGGACTATGGCCAAGAGCTTCAAGTTGTGGGCATAATCATCACAGCCAAACACATACAGAATCCTATCCTTTGATTACAGAATCCTAAGGATAACGGTTTAAAATTTAAAAATCTGGAAATGCCGATCCTGGTGTTTTGGTAACAGGGAAAACTACCGGGCCCTCTATTAAGAGGATTCTATAAAACAATCCGTTTACAATTTAAAATTAGTTTTAAAAAAAATCTCCCCTCGGGAAGGAAAAAAAGAAAATCGAAACAACGAAAGCTGGTGTTTCACGTGGTTACTGCAGAGGAAGGCAACCGCTGCTTGCCTTGCGAGCGATAGCCCCACTCGGTTCGCGGGAGCACCCTCTCCCCGCAAGGGCGTGGAAGCCAACGGCATGATCGCCTCCCCACGCACGGAGCTGCCGAGCGCGGCGTGGGGATCCGGCACCTCGGTCTTCCGAAGGCTGCTGCCAACGCTTGGTGAGGCCGAACTTGACCTCAGCTCACTGTCGGGAGGGACGCGACAAACCGCAAAAGCCTCTTATAGCTAACAATCTTCTCAGCGTCCTCCGGGCGCGAGGGGCGCGCTTGCCACCACCTCTCCGCGACCTGCACCTCGCGGAGGGAACAACCGCATCCAGTCTCGGGTCTTCCCGAGCAGCACCCAAGTCCAGAAGAGTAGAAAGGGGCCTTGCAAAACACCCGCCAGCTGCCCTCCAGCCTCCAGTCCACAGAGCAGAAAACTGTGGCCCTGCGCGGGGCGGTGGGGGGGGGGGGGTTGTGGAGAGGACGACAGGTCCTAGAGGGCTGCCACCCTCACTATGCAAACGGGCCCCGGCGGCCCAGCTATCCGAGGACAGTTCCCACCCGTCTGGCCCGTCCTCCATTCCCTGGCGGTGGGAGTGGGGGGCTCGGAAGCACCGGAGGTCTCCCGGGGCCTGAGGGGGAATTGAAGGCGGTTTGCGGTTCCTGCGCCGTCGTCTAGCGTGCGTCCAAGCATCTCTTGGTCACCAAGAGGAATCCGGCCTTCTGCAGACCGCTAAGGCTGAGGATGGAGCCGGGAGAGGGTGGCATTCGCTAAATACTGGCTAAGGAAGGCCCCAAGAGTACCTCTGCACAGCCCAAGGACCCAGAAAAGGGAAGAGGCCACCTCTGGCACGGCACGCAGCTGGAAAACGCAATCCTCCAACAGATGCCAATAGGAGGGCCATCTCAAGCCCTAACCATGTTCGTGTGATGAGAGCGTGGGCTGGGCAGGGCAGGGCAGCCCCGATGGGTTTGCAACTTGCCCTGAACGGCCCTGGGGCGGGGGGAGGGCAAGTCACGCGGGGAACTTCTCTTCCTCTCCACCCTGCCAGACCCACCATCTCCAAGCGCCCCCTTGGCCCATTCTCACCCTCCCGGGCAAGAAGTGAGCGAGTCCCGAGGCTGTGGGAACGTCCGGAAGCGCCGAGCTCTCCCGAGACGGTCCCGGGAGCCGGCGAGCCTCGGTCTCCCCCCGTCTGCGAACGGAGGGGGCCGGTCCGCAGTGGAGTGGGGGTGGGGGATCGCCAAGCACCCATCTCCTCCTCCTCTCTGACGCGGTGGGGGTGCCCGCCGCGCTCCCACCTGCGGAGGTGCGCCCGGGGGCGGGCGGGGAAGCGGCCCCGCCTCGCGCGTCCTGGCGCCTTTAAGGAGAAGAATCCTGCGGAGGGAGGAGCTGGCCCGGCGGTGTGAGTGCAGCGGGGCGCCTCGCCCGCAGGTTTTCCCCCCCGCGCCTAAAGCTCGCCGTCCCGCGCAGAGCCGCGCAGTAGCTCAGCCCCGCCTCGGCCACGGAGGTGCGGCCCCGACGCCTGCACTGACTGCCCTCCAGCCAGGCCTTCGGGGACCCTGCACGCTCCGCCTCGCCAGCTCCCCGGCGGGACCCGAGGCCAGCTTCCGACCCCGGGACTCGGCGCGCGAGCAGCCGCCCAGGACCTTACCAGCCTGCGCCGGGAGCCCCGTCCCGCTTCCAACGCCGTCGCCGCCGTCGTCGTCGCCGGGCCTCGAGCGCCGAGAACACGAGCTGCGCCCGTCTCGGGTTGGGCGCAGTGGAACACTGCCGAACCTCGGCCCGCACCGCGTCTCCCGCTCCCCCAGAGGGAACTCTCCGCCGACCGAAGCTAGCGTCCCTCAGACACGGCCTGCCGCGCCCCCGGCTCGGCCCTCGACAGCTGCGGCCGGGGTGCGGAACGGCTGCGCCATGACGGCCGAGAGCGGGCCGCCGCCGCCGCCCCAGCCTGAGGCGCTGACGGCCGTGAAGGAAGAGCGCGCCGAAGCGGGGCCCGGGGCCGGGGCCGGGGTCCCTGCCGAGGCGGCCGGCCGTGGCGCAGGCGGGCGGCGGCGCAAGCGCCCTCTGCAGCGCGGGAAGCCGCCCTACAGTTACATCGCGCTCATCGCCATGGCCATCGCGCACGCGCCCGAGCGCCGCCTCACACTCGGCGGCATCTACAAGTTCATCACCGAGCGCTTCCCCTTCTACCGCGACAACCCCAAAAAGTGGCAGAACAGCATCCGCCACAATCTCACGCTCAACGACTGCTTCCTCAAGATTCCGCGCGAGGCCGGCCGCCCCGGCAAAGGCAACTACTGGGCGCTCGACCCCAACGCCGAGGACATGTTCGAGAGCGGCAGCTTCCTGCGCCGCCGCAAGCGCTTCAAGCGCTCCGACCTGTCCACCTACCCGGCCTACATGCACGACGCGGCCGCCGCCGCCGCCGCTGCCGCTGCAGCCGCCGCTGCGGCCATCTTCCCGGGCGCCGTGCCCGCCGCGCGCCCGCCCTACCCGGGCGCCGTCTATGCTGGCTACGCGCCGCCATCGCTCGCCGCGCCGCCCCCGGTCTACTATCCGGCCGCGTCGCCGGGCCAGTGCCGCGTCTTTGGCCTAGTTCCCGAGCGACCGCTCAGCCCAGATCTGGGCCCGACGCCGCCGTCGGGGCCAGGGGGCTCCTGCGCCTTTGCCTCTGCCGGCACCCCGTCGGCTACTACCACCAGCTACCAGGCTGCTGGCTGTTCCGGGATCCGGCCCGCCAACCCCTCGGCCTATGCGGCCGCCTACACTGGCCCCGAAGGCGCGTACCCGCAGGGAGCAGGCAGTGCGCTCTTCCCCGCGGCTGGCCGCCTGGCGGGACCCGCTTCGCCCCCCACGGGTGGCAGCAGCGGGGCCGTGGAGACCGCAGTGGACTTCTATGGGCGCTCCTCACCTGGCCAGTTCGGAGCACTGGGGCCCTGCTACAATCATGGGGGGCAGCTTGGTGGCGGCAGTGGAGGCGCCTATCACGCCCGCCATGCAGCGGCCTATCCAGGTGGGGTGGATCGGTTTGTGTCGGCGATGTGAACCAAGAGTGAGAGACCTGAGCTCATAGATACCTCACAATCATGAACTCACTTTCCCAGAGGCCCGTATGAGGCCGGGACTGGAGCAAGGACCCGAACTGGACACTGACCGTAGGGCAGGAGCCAGAAAGGCACCGCTCCTGGGCGCACCGCACTTCCACAGCCGGGTTGCTTTGTTCAGCGGGACGTGAGGAGAGGCGGCTCCAGCCTCCAGCGGGGGGGAACAGCCCGAGGAACCCTCGATGGGACGAAGCCGTGTAAGACCAGCCTTTTGCCTCTGCGATAGAAGGGAAGCGTGCAGCCTCTACAGCAGCGCCGGGCTCCAGATCGTGGAAATTGTGTGGCTTCCCACCTCCCGGCGTTCCTGGAAACAAGCCTTTTGACACTTCGGCCCCCTGGTGCGCCTTTGACTAACCTTACTGCAATAAAAGGCTCCTACAGTTCTTTTCTCAAATGAGGACAAATGTGCAAAGGCAATGGCCCTTATTATTATTTTTTAATGGATGCAGTATATCCGGTTGACTTGGGCTCCTACCACTGCCCCAACTCACAGACTTAGCTCTGACTCAGAACCCCCCTCAACCCCCCTGTCCAGTACACGAGAGAGCTGCAGGGCTCAACCCCCCCCCCCAACCTCCCTCCCGTTTTGGCTGCTGCCCTGCATACTTGTGGGCCACCCAGGACCTCCTAAGTAGCCACCCTGAAACCTAACCGAGGGTTTCAGGAAATTAGAACCTCACTTGCGGCCATATTCTACCCTAGACTTAGCTCCAGGCAGCGATTGTATCATTAATTTATTGAGTCTTTGAGCAGGATCAGGAAGTGTTGGCCATTTCTCAGCTGTTGCTGCCCACTCATGATCCTGGCTGTCTGGAGAGACAGGTGGAAACACTCATCCATTGTCCACTGTTCTCTTTTCAACATGCAGCCCCCAGACCAATGCCAATGTAGGTTGAAACAAGATGGAGGGGCGCGACAGCTGCTAATGTTTTCAGTGGTTAGGGTGGGGTCTTCAGTCGCTGGTACCCTCTGGATCTTCCTTGGGAGCAGAAAGAGAGGGGAAGAGAAACGAAAGTGGGGTGAGCACTGAAGTACAATTTAGAGAAAACCATGGGTTTTAAACTTTGCTTTGTAACTTTTTTGTTGCCAGCCAGAGACTCACCCAAATCAGAAAATCCTACAAGCCTCCCCACCTCTTTAAGAAACTTGTAAGTTTCGATTCTGGAGTGGAAATTTTCCAGCCTGAAGTATTTCAGAGGCTCCGCACTTGCCTGCCGTGGCCTTCAAGCTGAGGATTCAGAGAAACTGTTTGAGTCAAAACCTTGGAGCAAGTGAGCTGTCTAGAAAAGTTCAGCCACTCTCTGTGTAGTTAACTTGGTAGGGAAAGCTGGCGGCGGCGGGGTTGTGAAAAAGCATAAAATCCACTGGGATTCATTTTTCCTTTTTTAATTTGGAGACTGGTGCATTGTGTTCACAAAAACGAGCAGACTTAGCCCATGCAAGGATTTGTCCAACAGAAATACAACACAGATAATACACGTGATTTTAAATTTGCTAGTATGCATTTTAATATAGAACAAGCAAGTGAGAATAACTTGAATTTTAATACATTTAGCCCAATATGCACCCCCCAAAAAAACCCCTACATTATCCTTTCAACATAGAATCAATGTAGAAATTATGGAGCTGTTTTAACCCTTTCCCCCATACTCAAGATCTGGGATGGATTGGACTTTTACAGCTTAATCTGAATCTGAACGGGCTGAGACTGGCCAGTATATTCCAGACTGCTGGTTCTGGATGCAGTGCTATGAGGGTGGTGAAGTGAGCTTTTGGAGGTTGGAAGCAGCGGGGTGGGTGGCTGGGGCACTGCTGCTGCCAGCCAGGAGGGAGAGGTGGGCCAGATGCCAGAGCCAGACCCCAACCTTGAAAAAATGCAGCTTGGGGTGGGGGGCTAATCTCCCCCTAGGGACCCTGCCAGGTATGAGATTCAAGAGTGTCCCAGAGACATCTGGGAAGGCTGACTCTCCCAGGGGAAGGGGCAAGGAATGCAAGACAGTGAGCCTTCCACTGAGTGCGGCCTTTGGCTGTGGAGCAGGCCTGTGGCCCCACGGGTGTGGAAGGCTTGTTTTGTCCCTAAACGGGGTGGAAGTCAGAGTTCTTGTTTCCGAATGAGCAAGGGCCAGGCTCTGCCAGCACCAGGGGAGCCGAAGTGAGGCCCTGAGGCAGATCCTCGTTTGCGAAAAGGGTGTATCTGTGGCTGCTACCTCAGCGGGTCCTACTCTGGGTAAGGGGAAAATTGACGGGAGGACAAAGGGATTTAACAATGAATAAATACGCGACGTGATGAAGCCTCTTTCCGCACACTCCCCCCAAACACCTGGCCCCAGAATGCAAGACAACAGAGTAGGGAAGGAGGGTGTCTTTGCTCCCAGCCTCCCGGTGGGCTTGGAGCAGAGATGAGCCTGAGCCAGTGGCGACTTCGTGGGAGAGAGCACCAGCAGAGGGAGGAACTGGGTCTGGGACCCGGACACCTGCAAGGAACGAACAAGCGACGGTCCTTCTCGGTCTCCCGCCGGCCGGGCTGCGCAGCGAGCCGGCGGCACGTCCGAGGCAGCGCGCACCGTCCAGGGGCTTCCACCTCGGCGGACTCCCGCATGTCCCGGGGACGCCCCGGCTGCAGGAACCCCCAGAGCTCGAACCCTCACAGACCCGCGTCAGGTGTATCTTCTTCCTCTTCTCAGGAACACAGACAAATCGCTGGGCCTTTTCGACTTCGGCACCCTCAGCGTCGTGTGTAGGCGCCCTCCGGTACGGGTAATTAGATGCGTTCTTCTCTAATTGCCCCAGGCTCATTAGAATTCGCCCCAGAGCTGTAACATTTATTTTCTTCCAAATTAACTTTGCTTTGCAATTAAGCTTAGGAAACTAGGAACAAAAGCAGAACTTGGCCCGAGGTCGTTCACTACGAAAACGGATTAGGTAGCCGGTGCGTCTCCGGTTTTAAGGTCAAAGCTTTCCAGTGGCCTGCGCTGGGAAGGAGGCAAGGTTCCGACCCCGAGGCCAGAGGAGGCTAGGACAGGGGCAGTGGCGCCCCGCAGATTCGCGGGATTCCTGCTACCAGACAGGCAGGAGAACGGCTCGGGCCGAGCCGCAGGTGTGGAACCGCGGCTCTTGGTGCGGTTCACCTACCACGCACTCGGGTCATCCAATTTCCCAAGCACTTTGTGAGAACTCTCTTTTATTGGACTTTTTTCTTACCATAATAATAAAATCGGAACGTGTTCGCTGTCTTTGTCGTACGTGTGTGTATGTTTAAGTACAAACAAGAGGGAGGGTGGGAAGAAGAAAGGAAGAAAAACTTAACAAAAATCAAAGAAACCCGTGATTTTCCAAGAGCAATAGCATTTCTGGATTTTGTTCCTGTTGTCTTAGTTTTTTCCTGTGTACAGCCTGAGTCTTGATTCTGTTTTTAAATTGTTGTGAGTTTTGATTTTTTTTTTTTTAATTATGTTACTTATTGAATGGAAGAGAGAAATCTTCCATTCCCGAGGTTCACTCCCCAAATGGCCTCGTAAGCCCCGGGGTGGACCAGGCTAGAGCTAGGAGGCTGGAACTCCATCCTGGACACATCCTGGACACAGGTGACAGGTGTTCCAATGCTGCCTTCTCAGCTGGGGTAACTGGAAGCTGAATCGGAAGTAGGACAGCAGAGCACTGAACTTGTACTGGGATATGTGGGTAACAATTTCATTAGTGGTAGCTTAACCAACTGGGCCACAACCCTGATCCCCTGTGGTGAAGTTTGAACAAGTTCCTTCTAGCACTGGAAGGGTTCAGCTTACATCTCTTAAATTGGATGCAGGTCTCTTGCACTCTCAGGTTCTCTAACTCCCCTCCCTGTGGGCGTTGCCATGCGGGATGCATTTTTGCAACAGCCAGGCAAGAGGCTGAGCCTGGGAGCGGGGTGGGGGTGGTGGCATGAGCCCTTCCCGATTTATCACAGGTCTGTGTGTATGGTTAGGCCCTGGAAGCTTGCTAGAAATACAGTCTCGGGTCCCACTGCAAATTGCAACCTGCCTCTCAACAGACAAACTCTTCAGATGATTCATCAGTAAAAAGGCAGAAACTCGAGGAAAAAAAAAAAACACTCATTCTGTCAAGAGCAGAGACCCCAAAATAACTTCTAGCAGCTTCCCATCTCTGGCCAAGAACGCTAACCTGCACCACAGCGCGACCTGGCGGCTATCCCGGCCAAGAGAAGGGGCGGGACTGCCTCCCCCCGGGGTTGTGCTTCCTGAGGTTTGAAATCCTGGCCTTTAGAATACACGTCGCTCTTGTTTTCCATCCTGCGGTGACTGACAATGACTTTCAAGGAGGAGAGTACATTTGACATCTTAAAAGCCCAGGTTACACTGAGCACAGGACACCAGCCCCAAGGCTGGCATCATCAACATCATGGTCAGCATGACAGTACCCCAGAGGTCTTTGAGAGGTTCTTGGGTACCCTAATAAATGCTCTCTTGCACCCAAGGAAACTTGGATTCCATCCTCATTCAGTATCTGAGAAGTGCTGACTCCTGGGTAAGCGGTTGGCATGCCAAGGTAGCTGGGGCGAGGGGTGGGGGTGGCTGAAGGGATATATCCCTGACGTAAAGCAATTCAGATTGGGACATGTAGCATGCAGGGTTGGCAGGGACCCAGATTGGGGCAATCCTTTCCCAGGAACATTGCAACACACCGGGTAGCACGGGGCGTGCATTGATTGCTTGCCTGCATTCTCCACAGCAGGAAAAGTGGGAGTGTGTGCCCAGTGTCCAAGAAGGGACATGTGATTTGCTCAAGACCAGACAGCTGTGTGTCCAAGTTGGGTCAGAGCCCAGGACTGCTCCAAGGCAGCCTGCTTTTGATGACTGTTCCAGGAAAAGGCCATGTGGATGGAGCAGCCTTGAGCTGGGGTCAAGGCCCAGGTGGGGCTCGGAGTAGGGAGTGGAACTCACT